TGCGGGAGGTACACTACTCTGGTGTTGACTTGAATCACACATTCGTGTTCTCTCTTGCACCTAGAGTTTCATCTCTTCCAGTAACTGAAGAACGAGAGAAAGAGAGATAGATATAGATAGAGATGAAAAGGAGAAAGAGAGGCGATTCTCCCTATATAACAGGTCTTGTGATCCTATATATACGAGCTAGGCTACCATACACTATAAACTATAGTATATATATATATATACAGTATCATATATAGTAGCCTGCGCAGACTGGTTATGAGAAGGTCCCAATAGCTAAAGCGCGGGGAAAGAGTCTCTCGCGGGGACGTTTCCCAGAAAGCAGCGACGAACTCGCAATATTCCTTCACTGACGCCGTCTGCTCTGCATCGTAAAACCACCCATCAGCTTTGATCTTGCTCCGTTTTTTTTTTTCACGAAATATACCACTCACTTGATTTTTTCTTCTTCTTTTTTCTCATCCCAGGACTCGAATCGTTATAGAGTCTCGACTAAACGTTCGAAGGCAAGAATTGTAGGTCCACCTGATGTTTATAAACAGGTCAGGATGACCCAGTCATCAACATCAGGATTCATGGAACGTAGACTTCGTCTTTTCAGGGAAGCGTGAATTTTTAGAGAAGTTTTCTCTGCGATTCTAAAAGCTTCTTTTCGAAAGAGTTGCATCTCTTGGATGAAAATAAGAATTGCCATTTCTGAGATTTAAAATTTTGAATTTTCGGAAATAATATTTTGGTATATGAGTTTTTAGCCGCATCTTTTTAGTATAGTTTCCCATTTTTCGTATTAGGCGTATTATATGGTTTTTCTCTTTAAATTTTACTATAGTAGAATAATTTTTGAACAAATGACTCGGATTACTATTTTTATAGTTGAGATGAACATTTTTGGAATCATCAAATTTTTCAAATTTCACTGAATTTTCCTTTAGATTTGGTTTTCTGAATTTTTGGAACTGGACGCGAGCGGAATGATCAATACTTTCAACAACTTGGTCTCCAGGTGGCTCCAATTTTCAGAAATTGACTCGAACTAAAATGATCAATACAATTTTACAGCTTGATGGTGGTTTGAATCTTTAAATTTTGCTTCAATCTTTTTTTTTAATTAAACTTTAGCTTGATGGATCTTAATTCTCGAATTAGCTAGCAAGATAATCGATATTCCTCCTGGTATGGGAATTCAAATTTTAATTATACAAATTTTTCTACCTTTAGCTTTTTTGAATTAAGATGATCAATATCCAAATTTTCGAATTGGATTTCAATGGAATGATCAGTAACTTCATATACTTATATTGAATCCATGAATGATTTATTCAATTTTTGAAATTTTAGCATTTAAATCTTAACGAAATGATTAATATTTGCTACAGTGGTTTAAATTTTCAAATTTCTGGAATTATATACAACACATCAAAATAATCAATATTCCTCCTGGCTTTAATAGTTATATCCAAATTCTGGAATTGAACTCGAACGAGATGATCAATAATTCCCACCGGCCTGGTTTTTTTTGAAGCTATTCGGATATTTAAAATTTAAGGGGACTTTCTGGTTTAGAATTTCAAAAAAATCGATTTTTTTTTTTTGCTTAAAAATGTTCCATAGTATCATAGAATTACTGTCCCAAAACGTTTTTTAAAAAATATGTACAAAAACAAAAGTTATAACAATATTTATGACGGTATGTATTTCAACAACAATCTACAGTTATCTTATTTACATATTTGGTGTTCCTCTTTTATTGATATTAGCTTGAAACATGTTACTCGAGGGTTTTTGGGGTCGCTGATTACGAATTTGATGTCAGTTTTTAAAAATACAAAATGGCGGATCCAATATGGCGGACGAAAAAAATAAAAATTCAAGCGGATTTGCTTAAAACTTGTTACTCGGTGGTTTTTGGGGTAGCTGATTACGAATTTGATGTCAGTTTTTGAAAATACAAAATGGCGGACAAATATTAAGAAATTAATTAAATTTAGTTGAAAATGGTTACTTGTGGCCTTTTGAGATTGCTAGTTATGAATATAGGCACAAAACATTAACGTTCTAGGAACGTTTTAATTAATAAAAAAAGTTAATTTTTTATTTTGTAGTCCGCCATATTGGATCCGCCATTTTGAATTTTCAAAAACTGACATCAAATTCATAATCAGCGACCCCAAAAACCCCCGAGTAACAAGTTTTAAGCAAATCCGGTTGAATTTTTATTTTTTCGTCCGCCATATTGGATCCGCCATTTTGAATTTTCCAAAACGGACATCAAATTCGTAATCAGCGACCCTAAAAACAGCGGGATACGAAGTTCTGTTGTAATAAAAAGTTGTTTGATATTCATGACTCAATGAACTATGTTATGAAAACTTTGAACGCGTTTTTCTCGAAAACTCATTTTTCAAACTGGTACAGAGCTTTTCTCGAAATCTACCGAACCGATTTTGAAATACCAAAAATTTTTCGATTCTTTATTTAAAAAACTGGGGCCTAAACCTCTAAAAACTCATATTTCTACCCCCTGTGTTTTTATATGGAGGTAAATTGACCCAAAAACACGGCGTTTTTGCGAGTTTTTGAGAAAAATGTACATAAAAAATAAAAAAACCTTTAAAAAAAATCGTTTTTGAGGTTTAGGCCCCAGAATAAATCCTTATGAAGAGATTCCCGTTTGGAACTTGAATTTATGTATTACAGGTTGCCCGGAAACTAACGTACCAAAAAAAAGAAATCTTTTGGAAGACGCCACCTACAGCTATGAAATTGAACTAAATACACTCAAACATATTTTTTAAATTTTCTCTACGCAATGTGCTACAATGTCCAAAAATAGTTTTTACAATTTCTTTAATACTGTTCTTACAATAAAAGTTTTAAAACCTTCCTTTTTTGTCAATTCTAAACCAGAAAGTCCCCTTAATTCAATTGAAGCGATTAATTCTTTGCTTTATAAATATCAAATGAATCATCAAGATGACCAATTTTGGCTTTGGCGCAATACAAATTTAACTACAATGTGATGATCAATATATCTGAAATTACATTTTCAAAATCGAATTAATCATCAACAGGATGATTATCATTCCTCTATATAGATTTATTTATCTGAATTTTTTTTAATATTAATTACAAATTAGAGACGATCAAGATGATCAAGAATCATTCTGATTTGGTAAATCGTATTCAACTCGATAACAGGATGATAAATATAAACTTGACTCCATTTTCGCGGGAACTTTAGATTTTTCTACATTAAATTAAATCCTATAACAGTATATGAATTATTTCTTCAGCTTCATATTTCTGATTTTTTCAATTTGAACTCGAAATCAATACTCCGTAGTGACTTTCAAAATTTTCGAACACAGATTCGAATGTTCAACATTTTTACTTGTAACTCTCTATGGATATTGTAATAATTAATATTCCTCCTAGTTTCATTATCTGAATTTTCAAATTTAACCACAATGGGATGATCAATACCTTGACAAAGCTACATTTTCTGAATATTTGCATATTCCTATATATAATTAACCAATCATGATTATCGTGATTTGGAAATGTTTAAATTTTCAAATTTGACATCAATAGAATCAATATATATATATATATATTTATATATATATACCTCTTACATGGAAAAGAATGAATTAGCTATAATACAGATGTTAAAAAATTTTTGCTCAAAATCCTACATTTGATTTACGAATCTAGCAAATAAATTTTCTTTCTGATCTCAGGATCTGACCATATGTTTACTATATATGTTTTTGGGGTTCCTGAATCCGAATCCGAGGCTCATTTGAACCCCATCATTTCAGGATTCTGTCATAACCTCAAAAAAATGTATTTCTAATGTCTTTTTTGGGCTTACGGCAGAATTCTAAAATGATGTGGGGTTAAATGGGCTTCGGATTCGGATTCAGCGCGCCCAAAAACATTATAGTAAACATGATACCCTATACCAGAAATTGACAGAGTTATCACTACTGGAACAATACTAGTACCCAGTATTGCAGCAGTAGTAAAATTTTAATAGCTAATTCATTGTTTTTCCATTTAAAATCTAATTGATTTATAAATATGCTCAATACCGGACATTGCTGTACATTTTCAGAAAATTTTCAATTATTAAATATACAAATATAATAAAATGATCATTATTCCACAAAATTCATTATATGAAATTTTCAAATTGAACTCTAGCGGGATAATCAATACTTCCCACCAATCTCCACTGGTCTCTCCCAAAGCTTCGCGGAATTTTCAAATTGTACTTGCAACGGAATGATCAACACACACACACACAGGATTTCTCGAATTAGCCGCACCAAAATATATATATATATATAATATAATCAATATTCCTCCTAGTTGTTTATTGTTAATTCCAAATTCAATGTAGGAATGATCAATATCTAAAAAAGTTTCAGATTTTTTTTTTTGAAATTTGCCACCCTCCTCTCCTATATAAATGAGATGATCGATATTTCTTCTACACAGAAATAAAATACACATTATTTTTCTCTTAATATAATAAAATCTCGATAATTTCTCATGGTTTCTTTTTGTGTGACCTCTTTTCGTTTTTCGGTTTCACCGAGTGGCTTGAGGGAAAAAAAAATTATTTTTCTTTTTTTTATGATGAATAAAAAAAAGGGAAGACTTCTTCTGTTTCGAACGAGCTGTACTATACATATACACACACGACAATTGCGATATATTCGTTGTGCAGCGTCGCGCAAGCGCTGCTCTCTCTCACGTTCGTTGAACCATCAGGCAAACGGAGTAGGTATATATGTATGTATATATATATATATATATATATATATATATATATATATATATATTCTTCGGCCGCTGGTACGCGCCGATTTCGCGCCAGCAATCGCTGACGCCGTGTGCCCGAGGTCCAACGAGCTCCCACGAACGCCCACGAGCTACTCTTCTCTCTTCCCAATAGCCAGGACGACGCGTTCAATCCCGAGTGCTGCGTCGTGTTCTTGGGTTCACTCTGCTTTGAGCTGGTGAACGCGAATCACGCGCCTCTCTCGATCATCTCTTCCTGTCGAGTCTTTCTTTTTTTTTCTCTAAATAAAAAAAAAAAAAAATCATAAATACACACAAACATATTTCGAATTCTAGACTCTTCCTAGTTCTCACGGCATTACCTTCTTCTATTGCTATATACTAGGTTGAAAACCCACTTTTCAACAAACGCGCCGTTAATGTCGCGTTGACTCCGTTCCCTCTTCATATACAATATTACTATACATAATATTATCTCCCGTGTTTTCTCAATTTACCGTTCGAAAAAGCCTCTTCTTCATTTTTCTCCATTCTTGAATTTTATCCAGTTCATAGTAAAAAAAAAAAAAAAAATCATTTCTGATTATTCTTCTAAAAACATTTATTCAAAAAACGAAAACAATCTCAAAAAATTATTTTTCACGACATAAATATCTGTCGAATGTCTTTTAAATTATTGAATTCTCTCTATATTCCAAGTAGAGGAATCATCATGCTCGTGGATCAAAGGGTCGATGAAACTCAACTCGGTGAGAAGGGTGGTTGGAGCTGTGAAACAACGTAAATCTTCCCCGAGAGGATTTTTCATACACACACACACACACACAAAGAAAACTTGACTTTAAAGAGATTGAAAACAATTCAAAAAAAAAAAAAAAATTCCGTCCCAAAGAAAAAAAAGAATCCCAAAAGTTATTTCAAATCGAGGGAAGGTAAAATTCAAATTTTTTTTGTGTAAAATACGAAAAATTGCATTTTGTTTTTTTTTCTCATAGAAGACAAAAAAAAAAAATATCACTAACGTGTAAAATAATAAATCTCAGTGAAAAAAATTTGTGGCAAAAAAAAATTTTTTTTAACCCCTTTTTTTAAACAAAAATGTGTTGAAAAAAAAACTTTTTGGGGAAAAATTGAGGAAACTAATCCATGTTAAATTTGGTCCTGTTGAAAAAAAAAAATATATATTCTATTTTGGTGATTTCGCCTTGGTCTTTCGATGTTTACTAAAAAATTGATTTTTCCTCGGTAATGCACGCTTTCTTTATCATCGTTACTTTTTTTTTCTCTCTCTGTCTCTCATGGTGCGCGGTACCATTGGGCGCGTGGCTTATTGATCCCTCCGTCCTCGTTCGTTCCTTGTGTATGATATTTCAGAGAGAGAGAGAGAGAGAGAGAGAAAGAAAATGGAAAAATTGCTATAGACTATATAAAAAAGAAGAGTAAAAAAACAAAAGAAAACAAGTACCGACGAGCGTCTACGCGTCGTCAACTATATGATTTATTGTAATAGACGAGATTCCAGGTCCATCGCGACAAATTCCAATCCCTCTTTTCTTGACAATCCTTCAATATATTTTTCTATTTTCAAATAGAATTTTCTATTTAAAAAATATTTTTAATAAGAATTATTTAAATTTAATTGAAAATAAATTATTTAGGATAATGGGGGGGGGAATAAAATATAGAGAATTTATTGAAATAATTCTAGAGAATTTGTTTTTTAAAAATTAAATTTCAAAAATTCTAAATAAATTTGTTTTTTTTTTTTTTTTTGATAGACGGGAGAAACGGCCGAGATGGAATCGCCTTTGGCCGAGGACTGTGTCGTCAACGCGGCCCAAGAGGATTCCACCTCAGTGATGAATCCTGAAGGAGCAAGTGAAATCTTACCAACAACATCCGTTAACAATGAGATCATCATTAATGACAAGACGACATCAACTGCTATTACAAATGAGATGATTTCTAAAATTTCCTCAGAATCATCAGAATGCGATGAAAATTCATCAACAACAAACGAAAAGGAGAATTTGTCAACAAAATTGGAAATCAATGAAACTTCAGAGAATGAATTATCAAAAAATAATGATAATGTTGATGAAAATAATGATAATAGTGATAATAATATGAAATCATTGCAAGTCTCGCGTAAAAGACCAGCTGCTGATTTTCTTCCATTAAGTGGTGAAATTAAAAAAATTGGCGTCGAAATATCCGAGGAACAGGCACAACAATTGAAAAATGAGGTCAGAAGACTCTCGCCTATACACGTTAGTCTTCGTGAACGTACTTTAGGTGAAATTTCATTAATATCCACCGAACCTCGTGTTTTTGTTGATGACAATATTAGAATTTTAAAGAAAAATAATGATGAAGAAATGGAATGTTTGAAAGTCACTAATCAAATTGACACGAGATCAGAAAATTCAAATAATGATAGTTATAATTCGCGAGTGGAAAATTGTGTTAAAGTGACGGAAACATGTGTTATTAATAATAATGATGATGATGATGATAATAATCAATCGGAGAAAAATAGTTCGACGACAGATTTAAATTGCAGTGCTGTTGATTTTGATGAAAGTACAACAACAATAGAAAATACAAAAGGACTTCGTGAATTAGTTCTTGTACTATCAAGGGTGGACGCAATAGAACAGAAAAATAATAGCAAAAATAATAATAATAGTGAAAAAATTGATGAGGTTGCAAATTGTTTAGATAAAATGAAAAATAATGAGAAAGAAAAAATTAGTGAACCTGAAATTGATTCTTCTAGGACATTGACTTCGACTGAGGAAGAAAGTATTGGTCTTGTAATCGAGAGATGCGTCTGTTATGTCCATGAACAATCATCATCATCATCGTCGTCGTCGTCAGAAAAAAATGAATTGTTTTTAGTTGAGAAATTAGAAAAGAAAGAAGAATTAACTATTGACGATAGAATGACGACTAGAAAAACGAGTCAAATATGGGAGAGTAATAATGTGATTGAAAAAATTGAGGTGGATGAGGAAATTATTTTTTCCAATTCCACACTTGGAATTGATGATATTCAAACAACGGTGTTGAACGTTGGTGAAAATCCTTTGGAATTGGAGACAATTGGATTGACCTCAAGTGAAATTCAAGTGGCTGTTGATACTGAGGAAACGGAAACAACAGAGACTGGTTCAGATAGTTCGGAAGTTGTCGCGTCAATGAATGCAGTTCAATTTAGTGTTGACCATCATAATCATCATCATCATCATCATGTTATTTCTAATCATCAGATTCCATGCACAGAGAATGATCCACTTATTTGTGATGATATTACGCCAGATATTATGACACGTTTGGAACCGGAAAGACCGGAAGCATTCACTGAGGATTCTGCTGAGAGTCTTGCCCTTGCTACAGGTTCAAGGGATGAGGTCAGATCAGATGGAAGTGATTCGGGACTTGGTAGCGAGATTCCTGGTGATTCTGGACAAGCACCAGCTCCTGAAAGTGATTCTGAGACATCATTCCTCGATAGGATACCTGATGAAATTTTGTCGGATAAAGATAAAAGTGAGTGGAAATTTTGTTAACTTAATTCTAGATTAAAAAAAAAAAAATTGTTCAATTTAGATTCCTTATAGTCTTTATTTTGAAAAGAAATGGGGGGATGAATTTCTTATTCAAATGAAAACAATTTTTTTCACATTAGATTTATAGAATTTTAATATTAGAAATAAAATTTCTAAATATTATTTATTTCTTATAGTATTTAAAAAAGGGGAAAAAAAATTTACTTTTTACGTTTCTTTTTTCTCAAAATGTAATAAAACTTTCTTGGCTGAAAACCAATATTCGGAAATGGAAATCGACTGTATTGAAATACAAAAAAAAAAAAAAATTTCTACTATGCAGCAAAGGGAAAAAATATTTATTAAAAATTATTAGTTATTTATTTAGTTGAGTTTAATATTAGATTGTTAATAGTTTAATGTTAATTTCAAAAATGGATAGAAATTTTTTATTATTTTTTTTTAATTATTAAAATATTTGTATGTGATAATATTGTTGATATGATATAATGCGTGGCTTAATTGATTATGAAGCAGCTTTTTAAAATGACATTTGAATTTGAATTAATATTTAATTTTAAATTAGGATTTAAATGTAAGTTTGGATTTAAATTTGAATTAAAGAGATAATTAGAATTTGAATTTTAAGAAAGACCAAATATAAAATTCCATTTATTTGAACGTTCTGAATTTCAAATTGACCCAAATTCATAAAGCTTTATATTATAGTGAACTATTTTTAGAATTCAAATTATTTCTTAGAATTTGAAGAATTATTTTTCAACTAATTAGTTTTAACAAATTTGAATCTTTTTTTGGAAGAAAAATATCTTACTGTAATTAATATTTTTATTGTAAATTTAATGAATATTGATATTTATTATTTTATATATATTTAAATAATAAGAATAATATAGTAATAGTAAATTATTATTTTAATTATTATGTATAATATTTTTTTCATTTTCTTAACAATGACTATCAAAATAAATAAAAAAGAAAAAAAGTTTAATAGTTCAATTTGAGAATTCAAAATTTTAATATCTTAATTTTTTTTTTTTATAATTTAAATGTCATATAAATATTTCCTTCCAAGTATTTTAATTAATATTTGTATAAAGGGTGACATATTTAAAAGCAACTCTTTGACTTCAAGCAATAGTTATAGGTTCAAAGAGCATGCGATCAATATTTCGAAAATTATAACAATTTTTTCTATGAGTACGCTGACATATGCGGAAATTAGTTTAAGTTAATCACATCTCACGTCTGCTATATTGATTTTTCGAAAATGTTAAAATTACGTATATCCACTTTTCTATATGAGTACATCAAACGAGAGAGAGAGAGAGAGAGAGGGAGAAATATTTTTTTATTTAGAGCTGCACTTGAGTTTGATTAAAATTTACTAATTTATCTTCATGTACTCAGTTTTAACGTCTAAATTAACTTTTCTATTTGTAATACTCGAATATTTAATCAATATCTCGATAACTTAAATGATTTGGCGCAATTTTCGCATATTAAAACAATTTTATTATTTAAAATAATTAAAATTAAATTTTTATTTATTAACTTCCAATGTATTTTTTTTAAAGTATTAATGTTTTATTATTTTGTTTTCATTAAAATAATTTTTTGGCCAAAAATTTTTTTGGTTATTTGTAAAAAACAAATTTCTAACTAGATTTCAGTTTCGAGGATCTGTTAATAAAAATAAAAAATGGTATTTTTTTTCTAAATTTTAAACTCATAATACTGAAAGAATGTACCTCAAAAAAATTGTTTTCCCTTAAATTGTTATTTAGAAGAAATAACGTAATATTATTTTTCTCAAACAATAATAATAATAATAATAATTGTTTGGTATTTTCGTGCAAATAACGGATAGGAGCATTGTTTCCCAGAAGGAATTCTGGCGTTCATCAAATGGAATTGTTTGGTCCATCGATTTTAGTCGTGAATCGATTATCAGCACGCGATACTTTACAATAAGAGATGATAATAATCATATAATCAGAACGTTTTCTTTCAGCTGTAAATCAATTGGAAACCTATGTCCCCGACGTGAACGGACAGTGCATACCACAAACGTCTCTTCCAACTTTTCGAAGTCCTTCAAAGAGTAATCTAAAGCGTAGATTAGTTGATTGCATGGAGGGTGAACCAAATGCAAAGAGAACAAATGCAGATGAACCACCAAAAAAGAAACGTAACATCCAATTCGATGCGGTTACCGTCTATTATTTCCCTCGGGCTCAAGGATTCACTTGTGTACCTTCTCAGGTTAGTTAATATAATTGTCAAATAATAGCCACTTTCATTCTATTATACAATTGATTGTTCTTTTTTAAAGTTTTTTTTTATGTATTTTTAATTAAATTGTTAAAAAAAAATTTATTTCTTATTTTTATCAATTTTTCATATATTGGAATTAATCTTCAATTTAGAGATGAATTTCGAAAACCTGTAATTAATGGCAAAGTTTTATTTTACAAAATTACTGATTTTTGAAATCGAAAAAAGAGAATTCTGTTAAATGGAAATTGTGTTCGAATGAAAACTCGATGAATTTTAATTTTTTTTTTTACTTTAATTAATTAATTAAAATTATAATGTGATAATAAAGAATTAACAAAATTTGATTTGGTTTTCAGGGTGGTAGTACACTTGGAATGAGCGCGACTCACACTCATGCCGAGCGATTTTCATTATCGGAACATGCAACTGAACAAAGGCGACTTCATCGAGCAAGATTGGCGCAATTACGTACTGAGCGTGCCGCGAACCGAGTGGCGGAAGCTGCATCAAGCTCAGAGGATCCAAGTGACGACACCGATGAGGAACCAAGCGACGCCGAGGAACTCGATATTGACAGCTATTATTTTTTGCAACCTGTACCAACATGGCAGAGACGTGCACTTCTTCGGGCAGCTGGCGTTCGACGAATAGACGCCGTTGAGAAAGATGAATGTCGCGATATTAGGGCAAGTCGCGAGCACTGCGGTTGCGGATGCAAGGGCTACTGCGATCCCGAGAGCTGTCCCTGTAGTCGAGCCAATGTCAAGTGCCAGGTTTGTGATTCTGTAAATTATACCAAAAAAAATTAATTAGAAATATATGCCTCAAATATTAAATTAATTATTCTTTATTAAATAGTAATTAATGAATTTTGTAATTTTTATTTTTTAATAATCTAAAGTCTTAATATTATTTAATGAAAATTTATTTAGATTTTTAATTTATTTATTTGAAAAATGCTAATTTAATTTGAGAATTTTTTTTTTCTTTTATTAAAATTCCATATAAATTTTATATCTAATTTAATTTGATTTTCATTAGAAAAATTGTGAAGTATTTCTAATTTTTAAATCGATTTTACAGCAACTGGAAATACTTTAACTAATTTTTCGGAACCTTAAACATTTTCAGTAAATTAGAGAGATACCTAATAATTCTGAAAATATATCTAAAATTTTTAAATAATTTAAATTATACTATAATATCCAAATTCTCTTCAAATATTTGGAAGTAAGTTAGTTTAAACTGTTTTAATTGAAATTGAAATTCAAATGATATTTAAACTCAAATTAAATAGTATTCATTTGAATTTCATTACAGTATTTGAATTATTATATATTTTTTAAAAGAAATTTTCTTTTAACAAAAAATTTCTACTTTAGAAAATTATTATTTAACATAATTTCTAACTAACCGAATATATCTATTTAATTTTATTTTCATTTAACAGAATTTCTATTTCACCTAATTTAATTTGATTTCAAGACAGTTTGGGTAAATGAAAAATGAACTAAATGAATACTCATTTAAATAAAAAATTTTCTAAATGAAAATTCTACTAAATTGACTTAATAAACATTAGATTAAAAGAAAATTTAATTAAATGAAAGCTCCACTAAATTAATATTGAATTAAATAAAAACTACTGAATTAAAATTTTCTTAAATACAAAACTAAATGAAAATTTTACTAAATTATAATAAACTAAATCAAAGATCAATTGAATACAAATTTGATTAACAGAAAACTTCACTAAACATATTCGGTTAAATAAAAATGTTCTAAATAATAATTTGACAAAATATAAATACAATTTAAAGAAAACTTGGTTAATGAAAATTTTACTAAATGAAAATTTATTTAATTAAAAATTTTTCAATTAAAATTCTGCAAAATGAAAATTTGATTAAATAAAAGAATAATGAAATGAAATTTTCGCTTTATAAATTTTCGTTAAACAACAAATTTGTATAAGTATATTTTAAAAAATATCAATATTGTAAATAGTAATTCTATTTGTAAAATCATTGAAATATTCTGAATTATTTTCAGGATTTTTGTTTTAAATTAAAAACACACGAAAAAAAAAATCCGATTGAAAAAGGAACTTGTAATCAAATATTGGTACTAATTAGCTTCTAATTAAGGGGTCATTAATCTATTGATATTTGTGTTTCAGGTCGACCGAGCAGGATTCCCTTGCGGATGCTCTCGAGACGGTTGTGCAAACAGTTCTGGTAGAATCGAATTTAATCCTGTCCGCGTAAGAACGCACTTTATTCACACTTTAATGCGTTTAGAATTGGAAAAAAAGCAACGCGACGAAGAGCACACCGATCCAGATTTGATGGAGAATAATCATCATAATCATCATAATCATCATCATCATCAACAACAACAACAACATCATCATCAGCATCATCTTCATCAAGATCAAGGAACAGGACTTCGCGATGTTTCCTTAGGATCTGTGATTGATAATTCAGCGGAAACATGCATGAATGGAGGTGGATTTACAACACTTCATTACGAGAGTCACGAGAGTGTTGTATCATCGTGTCAAGGTGGTGGTGGCGTCGGTAGTGTCACGGGCGTGAGGGAGGATAGCTTGGATTTATACGCGATTAGAGATGATTGTTATTCGAGCGAGGACGCGGTAGATTCTTCGCAGAATTCACAACAACGTAAACTTCATCCCGAATTTCATCAAACTTTCCAAACTTTTCCTGGTCATCCAAATTCCTTTCAACAAAATACATATGCCGATTATCAAACTTATCAGAATTTACCATCAACGTCGCGAGGAACGCCATTTCAACCGCAATTTCCCGTAACCAGTGGCGGTGGTGGCAATAATTCTGGTTTTTCTTCACATTATAGTGGATATGCAACCGATCTTGGTACAATGCAACTTAATAATTGTCAAACGCATACGGGACAACATTCGACAACAACTGGTTATGAAACGACTTTCGCTCAAGATGATGTGACGGGCTCACAATATACAAATTTAAATTCTGTTCAGCCAATGAATGCAGTTGTTCAACAAATGGGTAAACTCGAGCCATTTTCCGAATTATTGGCTGGCAGATATTCTTATTACGGTGAATTAGATCCACAAAGTCATGGAAATTATCATGCTAATAATGGAACGACAAAAATCGAGACTGAAAAAATTGAAACGATCAACGATCAGCAATTGGAAAATTCAGAGGAATGCGATGAAAATTTCGGTGAAATTATTAAAAAATCAATGGTTGAGACTGTCTCAGCTTAAAACATCAGCGACGATTTATTAAATTCACTGATCAATTATTATTATTAATGGCTCATAATCAATTGAGATGCAAAATCATCAAATTTTTATTGTCGGAAAAATTTTATTTAAAAAAAAAAAAAAAAAAAATTGAAATTTATATAATCGTAGGGACTATTTAGCAAAATTTTTATCTAGTCAAATTTTGTGACTGGTATTTGAATTTTCATTTACCAAAATTGAAATATTTATTATTTATGTAAATTACATAAATTGTCATTGATTTTTTTTTCTTTAAAACAAATATTTTGTTTTACTGAATTATCTTATTTTTTTTATTAAATTAAATTAATTTTTTGAATTTAATTTAATTGTAGCAAAAAAAAAAAAAAAACGATAATTCAGTCAAATAAAAACTGAATGTTCTATTAAATGAATTTTCGGTCAAATACAAATGCTCGTATTCTACCAAATAGAAATTTAAAAAAAGAGATTTTTCTGACAAATGAAATTTGATAAATATTCAATCAATTGATGATAGTTAATAATCAATCGATAGTTGTAAATCATAGTTCGAAATCAATATTGAGAAGTTCAAAATCAATTGATTGTTCACAATTGATCATTTTCAAAATCAATTGATAGTTCAAAATCAATTGATAGGTTCAAAAATCAATTATAACTTCTAAACTTTTGATAGTGTAAAATCAGTTGATTATTCAAAATGAACTGATGATTCACTTTCGATAAATTGATAATTCACATACACATACACACACAAACACAGTTGATAGTCGATAATTTAATTAATCGTTCGAGTCCGTCGAACTTGAAAAATATATATTTTTCGATCGGCTACTGAGAACCGATCTGCGTTACCACAAAATAAAAAAAAAATAATAAAAAAAAAATAAATAAATAAAACTTTCGATTCCGATGATCGTAAAGTTGATGACAAAAATGTGTTATCAAAAATCTTCCCGAAATAGAGAAATATCTTTGATGTCCTCGTTTTGAATTTGAATTTTCTGCGTCATTTGATCGAATAATGAGGATAATTTTACAGAAAAAAAAATGTCGATTAGGATAGTATCAATTTTAAGACTTCGAGGAGCTGCAATTTTTTGACGACACTATAATATTAATTATATTAGAATGGATACAAAACAAACAAACAAAAAAAAAAATGGAAATGAGTCAATGCGGTTGTGACCAAACTAAAATAAAAAAAAATACATGGGATCAGCTTAGAGTGCAGTTTGTCATAATAAACTTAAATATTTATAGTAGATCAATCAGATTGCGTACATTGTTCAATTTCGTCGAATTTATGACGATTTTTTTCGATTGCGTATACAAGTTGACACAATTGACGTCTAGGCGATGCCATTCAATGAGAATATATACACATTAATGATATTCTTGCAATCTTGATGCATATTATTAAATATGCATTCGTATTTTTCTTTTTTTTTTTTTTTATGGAACTTGACAAAATTTAGAATTGTTCAGTGCGTTGTGGATTGCGGAAAAATTTTTATAAACCGACAAGAAAAATAGAACATGCGAAAAATATGTAAAGTTTTTCTGCCTATACTATTATGATTATTATTATTATTATTTACGATTATTTACAATTTATTTAGAAGAAGGGCAATTAAAGCTCATTAAGAATGTTTTCGTTAAATGATAATGCGAGAAATATTTGGATTTCTTTGTCTCGTTTCTTTACTTTGTATCACAATTAAGTATTATGTTTATCAATGTCTTTATTTAAAAAGTATTTTTTTAATTTTTTCTTTTTTCGAGGTATTTAATTTATTATACAAATTTTTTTTGGATTTATTTATTTATTTTTTTCTTTTTTTTTGATAATTTTTTTTCGAAAAGTAAATTTGAAATTTCTGTAATGAAAGGCGAAAATAAAAAGAAAAAAAGTGCGAAATTATAAATTATTTGACAAAAAGTGTGGAAATAGCGACTGGATGAGCCTGATTGGTGGTGGTTGGTTGCCTTGTATTGTTTTTCTAAATATGCAATCCTCGTTCCTTCCGTGCGTTTTCAATGCAAATCTTTTTAGTAATCATGGGACGTCGATCGCTAAATCCACGATTAATCGAAGCACTACGCGTATAAGAAATTAATTATATGATAGTATTAAATTTATACATATATTATATAAAAAAAAAAAAAATAAAATAAAATTACGGACGTGTCAGCTCCGGAGCATTTTTGCAGGTATTTTTGTTATTCATAATTTTTTGCGCGCATTCATTGTCCGCCCGTATTTCTTATTTTTTTTCTATTTTTGTTTCTTGTTTTTTTTTAAGAAAATTAAAAAAAAAAAATAGACGGGTCGGTATGTAAAGGAATAATAACCAAGTTTATAGATGAGTCTTTAGTTGGGATCAGCGAGGTGGATCCATTTTATGATGTTACACTTTGCGAAGGATGCGACACCTCCATACGACGTAAATTATACAAAATATACTACACGTATGTAAGTTACTTTTAGAATATTTGAGTAAAAAAACATACATAGTTTATAGCGTTTTATTAAATGTTGTGAAAAAGTCATTTTCGATGTTGTACTTATCGCCTTGGTATCCTTAAAAAAAAAAAGAAATTATTTTTTTTAATTACAATTTTTATTTCTAGTTGTATACAACTTAGTTTTAGTTTCACTTGTCATTGAATTTTATCATTAATTACAGATTATTCATTATCATGTAATTACGGATTAATTATTAATTAAATTAATAATTAATTTAGTGATTGATTAGTTATTGGGTTTTTCTAATAATTTATTAATTAATGTTAGTGAGTAATTGGTAATTGAAATTAATGATTTATTAAATTTAATTAGAGACTATAAATCGAATTTAATTTTTAATTATTACATTTTAATGAATATTTATCTTCTTTTAGGGTCCATAGAAATTTTTATCTATTTTTTCATTTATATTTTACACTTTCTCTTAATTGAAAAAAAAATGTTGCTAAAAATTAGAATAAGATCTCTTAGAAAAAAATTAGGTATATAGAAAAAAAATTCTGATAAACTTTTAGAAACTTTGGGTTAATTGAATGCGGGAAAAATAGTATTATTTAAATTTCCTGCATAAAAAGGAAATACTAGGGGGAATCCCCTGAAATGAAATTTTTCTTGTTTTCTCCTATTTTAACATTTTTTTAATATTCTAGTAAAATTATGTTTAATAATAATTGTATGTACAGTAAAGTATTTAAGTAAAGATGATAGATAATTTATTTTTACGTAAATTACATTTATAAACAATAAATAAATGTATAATATTTTAAAAATTAATAAAATTGAAAATTCAAATTTTAGCGCGTTTAATAAAAGTGCGCATGCGTGTGTTCTCAAATGCAAAATGGCGGCGCAGCGGGAATTAATCAACTGTCGTATGTCAGACACATGCTCCTTTTTTTCATAAACAAAGTATTGTCGCATTGTAACATTCTTAAGAAGCTTGACAAAGAATTCTCTTGCGAAAGAGTCAACGGTGTTAATGCGTGCAGCATGCAAATTGGAATTGCATCGAGTAACACTACTTGTATTTGTCGCTCTTCTCTAAAGGAGGGGAGTTTGTGGGAAGGGAATGGCGTCTTTATGTATAGGCTTTATGCAGAGGTTAGTTGATCGTAGTGCGTCGACAGGTTGTGAAAAAGTAACGTGTGTAAATTTTATCAATGTTCTTGATGCCGGATTAAATGACGTGAATTAATGTAAATTAGTGATTGAAATTAAACGGTAAAAGTTATAGAAAATGTACATCGTCGACGGGCATCAATGGCTTCGACGGACGTGAGAGCAGCGTGTTTCGGATTAGTGTCGTTGACGTTTCTTGTGTCAGTGTCCTCGTCTCACTCCCTCTTTAATCTCAACTCATTTCATCTTTGTCACGCGAACAAGTGTTTAGAAAATATCCATCTCTCTCTATCTACAGGAAACGTATACGATGCCATATGACAGGTACGGGATGCAAGTGCTCAGAAACGAGGTCTTGAATGGCTACAGAATTTGACGAAATTTTTTCGATAAATTCACTAAAATAAATGAATCACGTAATGAGGATTACAGAAGATCGCAAGTGTAGGGACGAGAACGAAGATTTTCATCACGTTAGTGGGCTATGAGCGCTGACAATGGGGACGACTCCTTGGTAATTATTCCTACTTTCATTTTTTTTTTATTCTTTAACCAATTTGGTCTACCTGGCGGTACACTTACGTTCTCCGGAAGTTATAACTGAAGATTATCTAAAATTATCAGACCAGATGTAATTAGATTTTATTAGAAACTGAGAATAAAATTGGTGACTGGAAATAAACATCTGTTCGTGGGGTGTCTATAGTAAAGTTTCGGTTCCTTTGGAACCTGCTGTACTTCCGGTTACCGGTACTTAATTAATTTCATAGACTGGCTTTAAACAATTTATTACCTTCAATTTTTATTGTCCTATTTATTGAATTATCTAGTATATTCTTGATTATTAAAAGTAACGGAGAAAGTATGATCGAATGTAGATTTTTACATTTCAAAATATGTAAATAACGCGATAAATTTTTTTTTCTTTTACAAATAATTATTAAAAAGGCTTGGCAAAAATAAATTAATACAATTTTCCATTAATTAAATAACATTATATTATTCTTTTTAAAATGTTGTATAGACTTTTATGTTAATTTAATGATAAATATAAAATTTGTTAACGTAAATAAATTTAAATTAAATTGATGGTAATAAATTGTTGTGTTAATATAAATAACAAATATTGATTTTTGAGAATAATAAATATTTATTTGACAATTATTACAAATATTGGTTCACAAATATAAATATTGTAAATATATTGGGCGACTATAATATTGGTGAAAGGAAAAGTTTCATTTTATTACACGTTAGGATTTAATAAAGTGATAAAATTGTGATAAAGGATAACTATTTTTAGATAATTCTAATATGATTCATTATTGATTCTATTTTTAATTATTATTTCTTTTTAATTTCGTTGAATTAAGGAGAAACCTTCATCAATATCATGGAAACAAATTATTTTACTTTTGTTTAATTTGCGGGTGCGACTGTTAATTCTATACACACCCTAGAAATGAAGACCTCATTCTTGACATATTATTTAAATAACATTAATTAAGATTTTTCCTTGTGACTTTATCGTTGATGAATTATAAAAATATGTCGAATTTAAAACAATATTTTAATTTTTTTTAATTTTAATTTTTCTTTGTTTAACTATAATTAAATTTTGGTTCAGATACAAAAAATTTGTTCTTTAAAATTATTTAGTTGTTGAAAAAACTGTTACAATGCTGATGTTTATGAAGATTTATTTACGCCAATGAGCAACTAGTAATTTATTTATTTTCTACTTTAAAGATTTATTTACTTTTCTAAATACATTAAGTTGATATTTTTTTCGAGAAAAAAAAATAATATTTACGTTTTTGGAATTTTAGTTATTGAATACAATGTTTATTTCGTGCTTTCTTCTTTTTCTTTCTCTAAAATAAAACATATGGAATATTCCAGAACGTATATTCGTAATTTCTATAATAATTAAAATACTCCATTTTTATACACAAAAAGTATTGAAAATAATAAACAATGAGAACAAAGTACTTGGAATATCAAGAATATTTCTTAAAAATATTTTTTAGAAGAAAAAATATTTTTTTTATATAAATTATATATTTTTTTGACTACATAAAAATATTTGCAATGCGATTAATAATTTTTAGAAGAAAAATTTGTAGGCCAAAAATGATATTTTTTTTGCGTGAAAAATATTGGATAATAAAAACAATAATAATATATATATATAATTCTATGTGGATGGGTGTTATATATATTTATCGAAATTGAAACTGTTAGGAAAAGTTCAGTGAACCTAATTCGAACTATTTTCTCTATGGGATGCAATTGAAGCTTTGTATTATTATACTAGAGAAGGAAGGCAATAAATGCGAAACGGGACGTAAAAATGCTTAGACTTGCCCCACCCTTATATAGTTTCGCCAATTCGAGAGCTAAGCAATTTGTTCTCTCAAGACGACATCCTATTCAATTTACTGATTATATTTATGTTCAAACCCTTTTCTATTTTATTCTTATCTAGAAAATTTAAAGTTACGTGTCAAAACAATTTCTTTTAAACATATCTTAAGTGAAAAAAATTTATAATATAAAATTTTCTTTTCACAATATCTATGTTGACAAAATTTTGAAAATTGAAATTTTTTCCAATTATCTGTGAATTCTAATACAATTTCTATTCAAATTAAGATTTTTTTTTAAATATAAAATTATTTTATTGACTTATTTGTTTCACTATTTTGCAGTGAATCTAGATGTAACGTTGTTCTGAAAAGTTTAAGAAGTCGATTTCAAATTTTCGTATACAAAAACGAAAGTTATATTTATTCCTTTTAAGATTTCTCAGATTTCAATTTGTATTCAAGAAGTACAGATATACTTCGAAAAATAAGATTTCATCAAAATCGTACCTTTGCTTTAAGAATGTAAAGTAATACGTGTCAAGTCTAACGAGGCGCGTCGTGGAATGCAGAGCGAGAGAAGTTCGCATTCTGTTCGAACTTTACAGCTGTTGTCGTGTGAGAGAGAAGGAAAAGGCCGAGGTTATAATAGACATTGGTTATATATATGTATATTGACAAATTTTCATTTATATATTTAATGAACACATAATAAATCAGGGTGTCCAGCGGTCAGGAAAGTCAGGGAATTTAATTAAAATTTAGGGAAATTTTTAAAAATTTGCCAAAAATTAATTTTTTAAATTTTTTGATGCAAGACAAAGTGCAAATGCAAAACATTTTATTTATTAGCATTAAAAAAGGTTAATAAATAAAATGTTTTTAATTATCTTTTAAAAAAAAAAGAAATGTTTTCTTTCATTTTGAACATTCAGAACTTTAGGCACATTACAGGCCTCGGATTATACGACTTTTTCGACTTTTTTTACATTTAAAAAAAAAAAATTTTTACAAAATACGTTTTTTTTTTTAAGTATACAATGCAGATCTTCTCTATTTCAATTATTTAACATATTTTTAAATAAAATTATTCATTAAATTAATTATTTTTAATAATTTTAATGAAATTCATGACAAATTCAATTTTCTTAAACTATTTTTCAAATTAAATTTTTTATAAAATTTAATAATTGTTCATAATTTAAAGAAAAATTAGCAAATAAAATTAGCAAAAAAATTTTAATACAAAATCACTTGAAATTTAATTATTTGCAAAAATTTCAATTATTTTTAATGATTTTTATAATATTTTTCGAAAATTCAATAATCTAAAAGCAATTTTCAATTAAAAACTTTTGGAATTGAATTTTTTTTTTGTCAAAAAATTTTAATTCAAAATCAACTAAAATTCAATTGTTTTCAAAAATTTCAATTCAAAATAAACTAAAAGTCAATTATTTTAAAAAATTTAAATTCTAAATTATAATTAAAATTCAATTATTTTTCAAATTTAAATTCAAAATCAACTAAAATTTAACTAAAATACAATTATTTTCCAAAATTTTAATTGAAATTCAATTATTTAAAAATTTTTCATTTTAAAATCAACTAATTTTAATTAAAAATAAACTTAAATTCAATTATTTTCAAAAATTTTTAATTAATTTTTAAATTTTTCTATTTAAAATTAACTAAAATTCAATTATTTTCCAAACCTTCAATTGAAAATTCAACTATGTGAAATAATTTTTTTTTCCAAAACATAAATTTTTTTTAATTCTGTAAAATTGAATTATTCTCTGAAAATTAACAAAATCTTTTGAAATTCATGAATCAAAATTTCTGAACGTTCAAATGAATAAAATATTTTTTTCAATCTATAAATTATTAAAAATTATAACGACAATGTAAATTAAAATAATAAATTAAACAATTATTAAATTCTTTTTAGATATTTAAAACAATATCTTGTAATAAAATTCATACTTAAAGAAGTTGCAAAAAAATTTCGTTCATTTGAACGTTTAAAACTTTTGGCTCATTGAAATTCAATTATTTCTAATAATTCTTAAGGGGGGAACACCAGTTGTAACTCAAAAAATAATGCTTTTTTCAAGAATATTTTCCAAAAGAACAATGAATCTTTTTAAAGAATACTATTTATTAGTTAAAAGTACATGTAAAAAGCTGTAATTTAAAAGAAAAAAAAAATTTTTTTAACAAAAACTTTTGGAGATATGAGCCATTGAAGTGGCGTCTTAAGAAAAAAGGCGAATTGCGGTGACCAGCATTCTGCAAGTATACTTCGTCTGAAATACAAAAATGAAATTGATTTACATTTATTATAAGATTATCTAGTTCGTGATCGAAGGATTTAAAAAAAAAAAAAAATTTGACAAAATGGCGACCTGTCAAAGTCAAAAGTATGATTTTCGTTAAAAAAATACGGTCGATTTTCAGCTATATAAAAAAAAGTTTTGCATAAAAAAAAAAATCCTTCGATCACGAACTAGACTTATATGTGTAAATGAAGCACACTAAATTTTAAATAAATCGGTTTAATGGTATTCGAGTAATCGTGGTCACCGACTTGGAAAATGTCATTTTGAGAAAAACGCATTCAAAGTTTCAACTTACTTTTTTTTGTTCAGAAGAAATTTTGTTTCCAAGTAACAAAGAGTCATCGATTCCTGGACCATATAATAACTCTTCCGCAGTGGTTGCCGTTTCTAAATCATAGGAAAAGGCCATCTGTCGTTAGGGTCAGTTATGGCTGGCCACCTTGTATGAAGCCACGGGACGCGCCGATGCAGTGTTCTGTATATCTCATTTATTTTTCACCGGATCGACTTTGAAATTTACAGACACATTTCTAAATATGTATACTTTAAGAAAATGCACAAAAAAAAAAATTGATTTTTCGAAAGTTACAACTGGTGTTCCCCCCTTAATAAGGTTCTTATAGAATGATTCTTATTACAGAATTAATTAAATGAATTTAATATCTAATAACATTAGTTATTTAAAGTAAAATATTTATTAACCAATTAAATTTTGTTAAAATTGAAAAAATCGACTTTTTTTCGAACATAAATCGACTAAAACAACTTTTCTTGTGCCTTAAAATCGATCCGAGGCCTGACATTAT